GTGGTGTTTGTGGGGCACTGGTGGCGTGTGGTGTTTGTGGGGCACTGGTGGTGTGTGGTGTTTGTGGGGCATTTGCAGACATGTGTGTGTCTTGTGCATGGCGTGTATGTGGGATATGTGTATGGGGTGTGTAGTGTGCACAACACGTGCGGCATGTGTGTGGCACACAGAGGCTGGCCCCCAGTCTGTGCAATTCTGGGCTGTCCTGCCCTTGCACTGTGCACATGTGACCTGGCTGTGCCTTCCCAGGTAATGTGCGGATCTCTGACCTGGGGCTGGCTGTGGAGCTGATGGACGGGCAGACCAAGACCAAAGGCTATGCGGGAACTCCAGGTGAGGCCTGTGTGTACAAGCAGGTGGGGAGGCTCTACACCTTGAGAAGAGTCAGGGTCCTGTCCATCCCCAGGGCACAGCTGGGTCAATCTCCTTGCCTGGGGTGGGAGTGGGGGTGGGGTGGAGAAGGCCTCCCTCAGCCCTAAGGGCAAATGGTGGCAATTGTCAGTCGGCTTATACCCAGTGGCTACACTGCTCCTCTGCCTAGGAGATAGCCAGTCCCATCTTAGGAGTGGCTGCTGGTCTAGGTGCACCAAGCCTGCTATAGTGACAGCTACCCACTTTGATGCCTTCACAGGCAGAGAGCAGGCAGGACCCCGGGAACTTCAGGGGTTCTCTGGGCCTCAACAGAATGAATTAGTTCAGAGGCCTGGGGTTGACAGTCACAGCTCCAAGTGTCTGCTACACCTGCATTTCCAGGCCCCCAGGCCCCCTGTCTATTACATCTGCATCCCCAGGCCCCAGTCTGCTACACCTGTGTCCCCAGGCCCCAGGCCCCCTGGCTGCTACACCTGTATCCTGCACTGCAGATGAGCAGCTGGGAGCAAGCACAGCTTCCCTGAGTTCACAGCCACTGCCCAGTGCTCAGTCCCACCTGAGCTCTGCCTCCTGTCAGATTATGGGGCATCGGTTTCTCAGGAGTGGGGACAGGTGCACAGCTGCAGGAGGGTCTAGGTTGCCGCTCTTTGTGAGACACTGATGACCCATGACCTGAGGTAGGGCTACAATGTACTTGCATTGCCTAAAACCTCTCCCACCCCTGCCCACCACCGTCTGCGGTAAAATTGTCTTCCATGAAACCTGCTCCTGGTGTCAAGAAGGTTGGGAACTGCCATGCTACCCTGTTACACCACAAAGGGACAGGGACTGGCCTTAGTGGGCAGGTGCTCAGCTTTAATAAAGCCTTCATGGTGTGTTTGTACCATATATGCGTGTAGGCTTATGAAAACGTCTATGTGTACACATGTGTGTGTACACATATGCTTGCATTTATGTGTGGGTATACATGTGTGGGTGTCTTACGGGTGTGCCTGTGTGCAAATGCCTGTCTTTGTGTGCACACACCTATAACTGTGCTTACATGAGTGTGCACATGCTTATGTCTGTACCCTCTGTGTATGCCTGGCACGTATGCATATGTATATATGTGTCTCTGTGTGTCTTTGTGCATGTGTGTGCTTGTTTGTGTGTATGCATCTCTAGGTGTGTATATGCATGTCCATGTTCATGTGTGTATCTGTGTCTACATGTGCATGCATGTACATTTGTGTGCAAGTTTGTGTGTGTCCATATGTACCCCTATGTTTATGTGACTGTGTCTTTGTACATGGAGGCCTCTGTGCATGTTTGTATTGCACACTTCTGTGTGTGGCATGTGCATTCCTGTGCACGTGAGTGTGCAGGTATGTGTGTGTGTGCCTGTGTCTCTGTGAGTGCACATGCTTGTGTCTATGTGCCTGTATGTGAGGGTTGAGGCAGGTGCATCCTGGTGCCATGGCCGATCTCACTTGTGTCCACTCATCCTGCTCCTGGCGGAGGGAGCCGCCATGCAGGGGAGTGGAGACCTCAAGGTCAGGTCGGCGACTTGGATGATTTGGGGGACCTCTGAGCCTTCGGGGCTAATGTTTGTCACACCAGCTTGTTGTGAGGCTTTGATGGGGCAGTTGTACCTGGGGCCACTGACAGTGGCCACAACTTTTATTCCAGTCCTTCCTTTTTCATCCACATTCCAGATGGCTATATGTGTTCAGGTTATTTCTGATGGCATTTCCGGGAAAGTTTCCTTCTTCTCCTGGGTTGTTTTGGCTTTGGGGAAAAGGTACTATCACCTGATGCTGGCATTTGTGCAGCATGGAGGTGCCATCTGTGTCTGTGCCCCAGCTGAGCCGGTTTGCTGCCTGTGCAGTGCAGTCCCCGAGTGCTGAGAAAGGACACTGCACACATACACCCCTTGTGCCATGTTGCATCCTTGGTGTGGGGTTCAGGATCCCCCTGAAAGGTGCCCCCGTAATAGCAGGTCTAAGAATTTTCTGGAAGGCAGCTGCCCCACAGCTCAACGAAGCCCAAGCTGTACCTGCTTCTCGTGGGATGACTGCGTCTGCAGGCTCAGGTGAGGTGCGGTGCTGCTGGCATCTTCATGCTCCTCACCAAGTCCTGCTCATGGGGCACTCAGGCAAGGCCCACTTTCGTGTTTCAGGATGACTCTGGATCACACCAGAGCCAGGATTTGAGGAGTTTAACTACAAGGACATGTGCTAACTGGCCCTGCCTCAGGCACCGAGTGTGAGGCCCATCTGGCCGCCAGAGGGCCCTAGTCACCTTTTCTGTGGGTGCTGAGCTGCTGGTTTGAGGATTTGATGTGAACCTCGGGTGGACACTGGGCCTTCTGCTCAAATTTCTTTGTCAAAGTGAGTGTGACCACCACCCGTGTGGCAGGATCAGGCTCTGGTTGTGACCTCAGCACAGTTATCTGGAGATGTTGGGGTTGGGCGTGAGTAGAAGGCAGGTGCACATCCTGGAGCCCCCTCTGGATCTGTCTTCTTGGCCCCACCTGTGGTACAAGACTCTTCTGTAGTCTGGACCAACAGCAGGCTCTACCTGGTGACTTCTCTCTGCTGGGGTTATGCTGGCCCAGGGCACAGCCAGAGGGGTATGGAGGGGGCTGATATTTAGAGAAATTAGTAGCAGGTCAAGATCAGCCAGCACACAGGCCACCACTTGGCAATAGAATTAGCCACCTGTCTGCTGCACACACTGCACGGCTGGGGATGTGGAGCTGTGCTACTTGGGCTGCCAGCAGGGGCAACCAGGCTTTTTGCCCAGGAGGTGACTCGTGCCCTGGGTTTGGCAGGGACTTCTTGGGGGCCATCCAGGATCCAGAAGACTCTAGTTTTAGTCTAGACATGGTGCTCACGTGCACAGTTAGTACTCACAAAGTCTGTAATTCCCTGTCAGGCAGAGCCTACACAGGTACGTTCAGGGCCAGGGGCTTCTGTGCCACATGGCTCCTGTGACCCTTGTCTGGGAGTGGCTCTTGGTCATGTCGGCCTTGGTGGTGTTGCAGAGTGGGCCTCCACTTCATGCATGTTAAAAGGCCAGGAAAGACCTTAGCTTGGGATGTCGAAACTGACTGTCATGGAGCCACCCCTGTCCTAGCCCAGCAGCTGGTCCTAGTCCTGGGGGTCAGTTGTGGACTTTGGGGCTTGGCTGGCCCTCATTCAACTGGCAGTTGGGGCATGGGGCCCTAGGTGCATGCCAGGGGCATTGGCACCTGAACATCCTCAGGAATCTGACTGTCTAGACAGACAACTGCCTGGTCTCTACCCGCTGGACATGCAAGGCAGGGCCCAGTGCATCCCATGGTGGCAAGAGCCGAGATGGGAGCACAGCCCCCTGGTCTGTGTCCTGGGGCAAACTACCACACCCCAGCTATAAAATGGCCATGGGTGCCCCATTGTGGATGTGTAGCTTGATGTGGGTCACTGTGCCAGGCACTTAGGGCAGGCTGAAGCAAGGGCCCTGTAGCCTAGTCCTGGGGTCACTGTGGTCACTGCACACTGCAGTGGGACCTGAAGGGCCTGGGGAAACACAGGGCAAGCAGTCAGTTTGGGAGGAGAGCTTGGGGGTGATGCGGTGTCCACAAGCGTCACCTCCACTCAGCTCCCAGCACATGGCACCAGATCAGGGGATGATTGAAGCTCCATGTCCACACAGATTAACCAGCTCAGAAGGTGACACTGTAGGAGGTTCCCCAGTGAGGAACCCCTGGGACACTGGCAGCAAGGCCCAGTCCTAAGGTGGCCCAGCCTCCAGTATGAGCATATGGGGAGGAGCCCTAGACCCCAGGGGAATAGTCCTGAAGGCCCATGGAGGAGGCACTGTAGGAAATCCAACCTAGGTAACGTCCTGGGAAGACACAGGGGACACTGCAGCTGTGAGGTGGGATCATGAGAATGCGCAGAGAGCTCCAGAGGATGAAAAAGTGGCAGAGATGAAACATTCCAAAGATTTGAAAGATAAATTTGGATTTTCTCCCCAAAGTAAATCAAAGAACAAAAGTGTGGAAAATAAAAGAGAAAACACAAGAAAAGTAGGAGACTAGTCCAGAAAGCTCAGCATTGAACGGTAACTTTGAAGGAAGAACAGGAAACCTGCAGGAGGAAAGATATTGATGAAGTATTCCAAGAAAATACCCAGAGGGGAGCCACGTGAATTTAGGACTGAGACTGCCTTGCACATGGACCGTAGAGTGTGACACTTTGGGACAAAGAAGACATGACATGCCCACCAGGGTGGACTGCGGCCCCCACAGGGAGAACCAGGAATCAGGGTGGGGCTGGCTCCCAGGGCAGTGCCGGAAGTGGGAAAATGTCTTAGAAATGCAGAGGGCAAATGATTTTCAACTTAGAATTTTAGGGCACCCAAACTCTCAGGTAAATATTAAGGTAAAATAAAGACATTTTCAGATATGAAAGTTCTTAAAAATGTATGTGTAAAGTGAGCTAAAGCTCTTTTCAGGCTGCTATTTGACCAGAATAAAGGAGCTGATCTCAGAGGTGGGGCGTCTAGGGCAGGGTCACAGGGGAGTCCAGGCGCTGAGGACATTGGCTGAAAAGCCATGAATCCAGACTAGAGCAGGGAAGACAGTACCAGAAGCCTCTCTCATAACTATGAAATTGACAAAATATCTGATAAATTGGAATACAACACAATTATAGAAGTGCCACAGAAGTTAGGGTTGGATTGGTGATAAGTGCACAGAAAAAAATGAAAATGACAAAAAGACATGATCATCTGGGAAAAAGACAAGAATCTGTAGGGAAGGAAAACCTGGGCTCTGATTTGGTTCCAAATGGAAAGACATTTGGAGAGAAGGGTAGGGGCAGAGCCTGTGGGTAGCAGAGGAAGGCCAGGGGCCCTTTGACCTCCAGAGGGGCAAGGCTGAAAGTAGCCCCAGGGACGTGGAGAACTGTCTGATTCTTTATACATAAGAGCGACTTTTACACAAACCACAGGCGAGGCAGAAACAGACACTGGGTGTGTATGTGCTGGGCTCCATGCCCATCGCAAAGGGTGTCACAGTGACTAGATTTGAAGCCACTCTGTCTGGACACTTGTCATCTTGAACAAATTTTAAAATACTTAAGCGTGTGGGACCTCTGCTTCCAGTCTGAGCAACAGCACATGCTCTTGGTGCTGTCAGGATTAAATGCTGTAAATTTGTACCCGAGCTCTATAGGTGCTCAGAAAAGGCTTGCTCACAGACGGGTCCACATTAGCAGCACAGCCTCCAAGCAGACAGCACAGAGCTGGGCTTTCCCTTCAGCCCAAAATGCCGTGTGGGGACAGTCCTCCCATCCTTTGATGTCTGGGCTTCAGGGCAGGGACTCCTGTTTTGCACCTGCTATGCCCACGAGTCACACAAGCTACTGTGCTTGTCATCACATGCTCCCCACTGCCCCTGAGTCTGGGTACCAGAGAGGGAGGAGACTTCATACCAGCATGCCAAGCAGGGTCCTCAGCCAGGGCAGTTCTCCACCCTCCAGGGACATTTGCCCATGTTTGGAGACTTTTCTGTTACTGATGCTACTGGCACCTGGTTGGCTACTCCACACCCAAGGGTGTTCTGGCCCTGAGTGCCAATGGTGCTGAGCCCCTATGTAGACCACATTTGGAGCCCAGTCTTGTGGCAGGAGCTCCCTGCAGGGATAGGACATCTGAACCCCACTGTGCTCTGGCCTGGCAGGTTTCATGGCTCCCGAGCTCCTGCGGGGGGAGGAGTATGACTTCTCTGTGGACTACTTCGCCCTGGGTGTCACCTTGTATGAGATGATCGCAGCCCGAGGACCCTTTCGAGCCCGAGGAGAGAAGGTAGGGCCCACCTAGCAGGGTCCTAGTTGGGAGGTGCAAATTCATGCAGCCTTCTTTGCTGTCTGTGGTGAAAGTGACTTGCCCAGTTCCTGATGCCTCAGGGACTTCAGGCCTCTCCTTGTACCCAGAGCATAGGACAGAGTCAACACCCAGACCTGGGGCTAGCCACCCTCAACCCCGCAGGGTCCTGCCTCATGGCACTGCCTCCTGGGTGACTTGCCCGCTGCGGCATCCAGACAGGGCACATGGACCACCCTGAGCCTCCATCCTGAGTGCACCCCCAGCTGCTGGGGCCTGGTGGCTGCCAAGGCCAGTGATCTTGGATGCTGGGTGTCACGGCTTCTTCCCCGTGGATGGTCCTGCTACTCTTTTCCTCCCAAGATGCCAAGAGTCCACTGCCACCACAGGCACAGCAGTGGTCCTGGACATCCGCAGAGGTCCTCAAACTTTTTAAACAGAAGGCCAGTTCACTGTCCCTCAGACCGTTAGAGGGCCAGACTGCGGGCCTCAGGACAAGTCGGCTGCTAAGCAGGACAGGCAGCAGTGGCAAAAACACCCAGCAGGCTGGATAAATGTCCTAGGCGGGCTGCATGTGGCCCCTGGGCTGTAGTTTGAGAACGCCTGTCCTAGAGGGAGGCAGACCTCTCCCAAGGCTGCACAGCCTCTCCTGAGCCCCATGGATGCTGGCTCCTGGGGCCTCCATGACCACAAAAGGGGTGACATGGAAGGCCATTCCCCTATTCAAGCAGTGGACCAAATTGCTTTTCCCTTCCAGCAAGTGATGACTAAGCCCAGAGATAAGACTGCCTCTCAGTCTACCCAGGCAGAGTGACCCATGGCCAGGGGGGCTGCCCAGCCCAAGACACAAGGCCCAGACAGGGACCCAGTCTATGCACGGGGGCCTTGGGGTGCAGCATTGCCCTCCCAATTTCTCCTGCTGGTACTTCCCTGGAAGTGTGTCCTTCACCAGGGGAACAGACTAAACCCCCAATCTTCCAGTGTCCCCTGGAAGTGTCCCTCCCAAAACAGGCTGGGGACACAGTAAGTCCCCCCATCTTCCAGTGTCCCCTGGATGTGTCCCCCCCAGGACCCGCTGGGGACAGAGTAAGTCCCCCATCTTCCAGTGTCCCCTGGAAGTGTCACCCAGGACACACTGGGGATAGAGTTAGTCCCCCACCCTCCGGTGTCCCCCCCAGGACATGCTAGGACAGACTAAATCCCCCCATCTTCCAGTGTTCCCTGGAAGTGTCACTTCCAGGACAGGCTGGGGACAGAGTTACTCCCCCATCTTCCATGTCCCCTGAAAATTCCCCCCCAGGACAGGCTAGGGGCAGAGTTAGTCCCTCATCTTCTAGTATCCTCCTAGGACAGGTTGGGGACAGAGTAAGTCCCCATTTTCCAGTGTCTGGGGCTGCACTGTCCATTTCTTTGTGAGGTGTAGGTGTGTGGGGACGGGGTTGTCAGTGGCCTGCTTGGGGGGGGGGGTGTTCTACAGGTGCCCAAGGAAATTCTCTGCTCTGCAGTGACCAGGTCCTCTGGGCAAGGGGGGATGCACCTGCCCAGCATGGCTGATAGCAGACCCTGGGTGCCTCCTGTAGTGTCCCACCGGTTGGCCTCCCCTGTAGGCCTATACTGCCCACCTCTCATTCTGGCCATTCTTTCCCTGGGTCTGGGATGGTTGTGGGAATGTTCCAGGGAGTCAACCAGGTCCTCTGTGGACACTGTCCCCTCCTTGGTCACTGGGCACACCTGCTGAGGAGCTGAGCACATGGGTGCCCCGAGGTCCTACCCTGGTGGGAATGGGTTTGCGCAACTCGGCTCCTATCCCCTCCTCCTGTGCAGGTGGAGAATAAGGAGCTCAAGCAGCGGATCCTCTCAGAGGCCGTCAAATACCCAGAGAAGTTCAGCCAGCCCAGCAAGGACTTCTGTGAGGCGCTGCTGGTGAAGGACCCTGAGAAGCGCTTGGGGTTCAGGAACCAGACATGTGATGCACTGCGTGTCCAACCCCTCTTCAAAGACCTTAACTGGAGACAGCTGGAAGCCGGTACTGTGAGGTGCTCAGACAGGGGGTGCTGGACTTGGTGGCTGCAGTTCCCTGGGTCCTGAACGTCCCTCACCCTCTGCTCTGCCCTGCCCCCACTGCCCAGGACTGGGCGTTAGTGGCCCTGTGTGAACAGATCTGAGCAGGTCTGAGCAGACCTTCAGGTCTTGTCTTAAGGTGGGGAGGGAGGAAAGAGATGGTGGCAGGTCGACCTCCAGGTCCAAACCTGCTGGGCTCCCCACCATGTATTTCCCACCCTGTGTCCCAAAGGAGCCCCTGAGCACACCTAAAGTAGGGTTTTCATGCTGTCTGCTTAGGGCGGTTTACCAGCCTTACTGCCAAGTTGCATATGTGAGGCTGCGTGTATATCTGAGAGAGGGAGAAACCAGGTGCACCCTCTGCCCTGGGAGCCTGCCCAGGGGGAGGGCTCTCTGTACACAATGTGACCACAGTTACAAGACAGCCATTCAGCCATAGGCTCCCCAAAGGGAAGCTGCTTCTGCAGGGAAGGGTCAGAGCAGTATCCAGGAGATTGGAGGTATGGGCGAGTGCACGTGGTCAGATGTGCAAGCTGTGAGCCCTGACCTCCAGTAATGGGGACTGAGTCATCCTGAGTGTCCAGTTCCAAGAGAGATGAGCAGAAACCACATGGGGGACTTGTGAGTGTCTGTCAGCATGAGGGTTGTCCTGAGGCCACTGCAAGCTCTTTCTGGAGGCAGGGTCAGTGTGGACTGAGGGGAGGAGGTGATCTGGCCAACTGGGAGGTTGTCCACTGTGGAAGCTCTGTGTCTGGAGCCTCGGGAGTCATGGCCTGCAAACATGTTGAGGGGAGAAGTTGCCTTTTGAAAGGCGGTATGAGGTTCAGCCTGCACATGTGGGGGCTGGGAGTCGGGCCTGAGATGATAATGATGTTGTCCACCAGGGAGGCTGACCTAAGGGCCCTGGGACTGGATCTGCAGAGGGGGCAAGTGGCCCAGGAGACAGCGTCCCTGGTGGAGGGGGCAGAAGGTTCTTTGCTTCAGGGAAACCTCAGGGAGGCAGAGGACCTGGCTGGGGTCCCTTCAGAAGTAGCCTCTAAACCAGACTCCCACTCCCACTTGGTCCACCTGAGGCTTGAGCACCTGGCCACATGCCTGTGGGGGTTGCAGAGCCCTGGGAGGCCTTCCCCAGGCAGGGTCAGCCCCCAGGTCCCTGCACCTTCGAGGGGCTGCTGGGGAGGTATTTTCTTGTGTGACACCCTGCTTACCCACATGCTGTCTGTGTCTTGTTTCTTGGTTTCCGAACAGGGATGCTGATCCCGCCTTTCATCCCAGACTCCAGAACCGTATATGCAAAAAACATTCAGGATGTAGGTGCCTTTTCCACGGTCAAAGGCGTGGTCTTTGACAAAGCTGACACGGAGTTCTTCCAGGAGTTTGCCACCGGCAACTGCCCTATCCCCTGGCAGGAGGAAATGATCGAAACCGGCATCTTTGGGGAGTTGAATGTGTGGCGTGAGGATGGGCAGATGCCGGACGACATGAAGGGGATCTCTGCCGTGGAGACCTCCTCATCCAAATCAGGAATGTGTCTGATTTCCTAGATGGTCTCTGGAGTGAAGCAGTGGGGCAGAGCCACTCAGCAGAGGACAGGGAGCCCCGCCAGCCTTTGCCGGGAGGCGCCAAATGCCTTGTGGTGGGCGCTTTGGGGTCCTCCAGCCAGGGAGTGGACACAGGGCTCTCTCTGCCAGGCCCCTGCTGTGTGCTGGGTCTCCTCCTGGCTCAAGACAGAGATGGCTATGGAGGCACAGGGCAGGGACTCTGGGCCTGGGTCCCCAAGCCTCTGTCCCTGACTGCCCACTGCTCTTCACTCTGCACAATATCCTGGTGAAATCAGCCAATCGCAGGTGAACTCTCAAAGATCCTCTTGGCAGCCACTGGCAAGTGGGACAGGACAGGTCCTGGTGCTGCCGGAAGTCCAGTTTGGGTTTCCTGGACCTTAACCTCTAACCTCTCAGAGTCCAATTCCTCTGTGGGAGACTGGGAACCATGGCCCGCAGCCATCAGCTGTCCCACTCCTGGGAAGGGCTGGCCCAGGCCTGATCACCTGCACCCTGGGGACCCCACAGTCAGCAGATGTGAGGCGCTAAGGCCTGCAGTTTCTGTCAGGGTCACCTCACCCCCCCAGAACCCATTCAGGGTTTTTGGATGCCAGACTGCCCTGTGGCTGTGCTCTTTCCTGCCTGTCAGCAGGGCCCACTCTGGGCCCTCACAGCCTGAGCTGTCTTCTCTCTGGCCCCTCCTGGAACAAGCTGACCATCCCTGGGTTGGCTGACCTCACCTCCCAGGGAAGCTCTGGGCAGGCTGCCCTTGTCTATGGCTCTGCTGACCCCTGGGCAGTTTCTTGCTACAATCCCCTCGTGGTATTCTCAGCAGCTATTATACCAAAGACCAAAGACCTACTCCCGGAAACACTCACATCACTCTGCTTCCTGACTGCCTGGTCCAGCTGCACCCTGAATGTAGAGGGTCCTCGCACATCTCCATGTTTGACTGGAATACTCAAGTCAGCCCCAGCTGCTGTCTGGGCTGTGGCTGGGATCCAGGACATCAGCAGAGGGTTCACAAGGTGCAATGCCAGCCCGGGTGGGACTTAGGGGCCTTCAAGCTGCCTTAGAGGCGGGCTGTGCCCTTTCCTCAGGGAGAAGTGTCTTGCGGGCCCATGCACTGACGTATAGGGGGAAGTAGCCCTGGCCTCATGGGAGTGGCTGGGTGTCTCCATGAACCTTGGGGAGGCCGTGAGGATAAGGGAGAGGGGAGAGGGGCCTTGGTGTGGGGCCGACAGAGCCAGGGGCCACAGGGAGGGCTTCGTGGGGATGTTGAGTCCTCCATGGCCTTGGCTGCCTCTCCTGGACGTCAGCCCTGTCGTGGGGAGCCATGTACCCCCAGAGACTGGCACTGTGGCAGTCATGGCTTTAGAGATTTACACTTGTGGCCAGAGGGACTGAGTGCCTCCAGAGTGGGCAGACCTGCTAAGGGATTAGCACCAAGCAGGTGTTCGGAGCGAGCACATCTTCCAATAAGCCCAGGCCACCAGTTCTGTGCAGAGTCGTGTTCTCTAGAGGTAGTTCCTGCCCATGCACATGAAGACCACACTTGGAAAGCAGCTCCGCAGCCCTCTCCTCTGACCAGAGGGGCTGACAGGGCCATAGAATGTTCTGAAAGGGCCAGGAGCAGCAGCCAGTGCTTTTCCATCTAAGATCCCAAACTGTCCACGAAGACACCTCTGCGGCAGGCCCAAGACTGGAGCTCAGGGAGGCTGGAAACACACCGAGCTGCCCACTGAGCAAGCTCCCGGCCCCTCCTGTTCTGGAAGGTTCTGTAGCAGGCAATGGCTGTCTTGTTTGTGTCACTCATTTCTGGTTCCTCCAGACCTTCTTGGATCTCCCAGTGCGTGTGGGTCTGAACAGGTAAGCGACCTCACCTCTGGCCTCCCTGGGGTTGTAGAGCACAGGCAGTTTCATCAGCGCTGCAGGGGCCACTGTCAACAGTGAGCTGTCTAGGGCTCTTGGGCCTGCAGCAGGACTCTGCTATCCCCCCAGGACTCAGCAAGAACCTCTCTGCCCTCCTCTTAAGGTTGGACTTCCAGACGCTCACGTCCCAGTGAGTTTGAATTCAGATAAATAATGAATAGTTTTTAGTGTAAGTATATCCTATGTAATCTTTGAGACATCCTTATACTAAAAACACATTTGTCATTCATCTGAAGTGCAAATTTGATTGGGCACCCTGTAGTGCTGTTTTGGCAGACCTGGCAGGTCTGTTGCAGATCACCCATTTCCCTGTAAAGTAGCTGCGGTCCCCTGCACACACCTGCTTGGGAGGGACCAGGAGAGGCTTTGCTTCTGGCTTCAGCTGCCCCTTTGGGTCTGTCCAGGGTGGTGTTTTCCAACCCTGTAAAATGAAAGTTGACCACATTGTTCACATGTAGGCTGTTGAAAGTTGTATCTCCACTTCATTTTTATTAAAAAATCTTTTAAAACTTAGTATCATATCAAGAAAATGCATTGTGAATGCTGAGTCCATGATCCCACAGGATGCCACCTGTTCCCATCCCTGGTGTCCACCAGCGCAGCCACATACCTGCCCTCAGTCATTCGCACATCCTGTCCATATGTTCACTGTCATCTGTGAGCTTTGCAGCCTCCTCCCCAGCATCTGCTCTCATGCCTGCCCTGCCCACCTCATGGCATCCACCCAGGCAACCCAACCTCTGGCCCACAAGCTGAGGCTGGGAAGGAGGTGCTATAGCAGCCCTGTGCCCTCTGGGCAGGTGCTTCCATGGACCCTTCCTCCCATGGTTCCCTCCTGGGTCTCCTGGGAGCAGGCCTTGCTGACTGGTCAGACACCTCTCTTCTGCACCCTTCTGGGCTCCTGGAACCTCTGGCTGTTCCCTGCTGATGCCTATCACCACTGGGTACTCCCCAGGTGGTGGGACAGGCTCCTTCTGGCCCCACCAGGAGATTGCTTCTGCCTGGTCCTGCTCTGTATTTGGGCAGCTGCCGGCAGCCTGGCTTGTGACCTCCCAGGGAGCAGGCAGTCGAGGTGCCACCTTGCTGCAGGAGGCTGTGGAGCCTGGGCATCTGGAAGCCACTCTGCCGGCCTGTGGCCAGATGAGACTTGGGCTCCGAACGTTCTTACTCTCAATGTGGGAGCCATGCAGTGCTCCTCAGAAACTCACCCGAACTACCATATAGGGGCATTCGGCACCAATGGTCTCAGGTCCTGGTGGGAGCCTGGCAGGAAGTGTTCGGCACCAAGGGTTCTGGTGGGTTGCCATGCCCACCCCTCCCAATGAGGCATCTCCCCATCCTGTGCTCAGAAACACCTCAGCAAAAAGCAAAAAGTGGGGTTCAAGTATCTGGTGATCCTGGGAGCTAATTGCAACTTTTCATCACAGGTACTTCAGAGCTGCGACCAGACTGTACATTATAGGGTGGGTCCATTGTTTGCCTAAAGGCACAGTGGGTCAGGTGCATGAGAGGGGAGATGTTCAGGGTCCAGCCTGCAGCTGCCTTGGCCAGGATCCCTCCTTCTCACTGATTTCCAACCCCAACCCTGAAGCTGACCTGCCATGAGCAGGCAAAAGCCCCGCAGGTGGGAGTCCAGTCAGGCCTGGGGAGCTGTTTGTCACACTGCCCATTCTCTCCAGAACTGGTGGGAGGGTGACCGGGAAGAAGGGGGCTCTTCAGACAAAGTAACCTGGAGGGCAGGAAAGGCCGAACCACGCTTCTCCTTGCACAGCCAGCCAGTCAGAGACCATGGAGATGTGGAGACACTCAAGGGGCCAGATGGGCACTGCAGGACCCCACATGTCCTTGCTGGACCAAGGGTCCTGCCCAGTAGCTCTCATCCACCCCATTATTGGGTTGTTTACCATGTTGTTGTAGCCAGCTGGATTTGTTGTTTGTTTTCTTGTCTACATATAACCCCCTCATGTCAGTGCTGGGAGTGTGTCTCAGAGGGGCTCCTGCGACCAGTTCTCTGCTGGGAGGTCTTCTGGGAAGGTTGAGAAACTAAATGGGCCTTGACTGGAGTGAAGCCTTTGGATGATAGCGGCATGCCTGCTGAAGAGAGGGCCGTTTAGGAGGGACAACTTCACCTGGAACCATGAAATTAACAAAAAATGAAAACTGCTGTCAGGTATTATCCAATTTGAAATGAAGAATAAGAAGCCTTGATTTGATTTTCTAAAAATCAAACCTCAGTCCCCTAATTACAGTAGCAAAATGTTTCCCCAAGTTCCACACCTTCATTTCCATGACAGGAGCTAGGTGGATGTTAGCAGGGCCCCAGGAGGGCAGCGTCAGGGTGCAGTGGCCTGCCTGGCTTGCGCCCAGCCTGGGGGCAGATATCACCAGTCCTCCTCAGCCCAGAAGCAGCAGCTGTGCCCCTGAACATGGATATTTAATATGTGCCTCAGGCCCGGAGGCCACACAGCCGGGCTGGGTCTGGTTTCACTGCCTGCAGAGGACACGGCTCTTTCCTTTCAGCAGGGCAATGCCAGGCTGCTGTGCCAACTGCACTGCTAAACTTTTGACTAAAACCAGGAGATGCTGGACAAGCTGGGGTTGCCAAGCCCAAGGCTGGGAGCAGGTGGGAGTCATACTCCACACAGGCCTCAATGTGCTTTTCCTGCTTGGGTTCAGGGGTTTGGAGAGATAAGGGCACTGTGGTTATAAAAGCCTTCAGCAAAGCTCTGAGAGTGTTTTTAATCTTAAAAAATTCATGTCTCTAAGAGCATCTCTGGTCTCGCTGCTTCCCCCACTTCCCCTTCCCTTCCATGTGGAGGCAGGCAGCACGTCCCTGCCATGAGAGCAGCGTCTGCATTATTCATCCCACGCTGTTTCCTGGGTTGCTTGGCGACAGGATGGGTCACATTTCACCGTCAGCACCACTGATCCTAGAGAGCTGAGAGCCAGGCCACACACACAGTTGTTTGTGTGCAATTCCCATCTGTAGGGGCCCGAGGGGTTCAAGGGGACCAAGGGGCTCAAGGGGCCAGGCTCTGCAACCACCAGGAGGGGCTGTGCCTAGGCATGGC